GCCGCACCCCTTTCCCGGCGGTGCCTTGGGCCCAGCTCTACCCGACCTGGGCATTGACGTGACTGTGCGCACAGCCCAACCCCCGACCACCTCGCAAGCCTGCATCAAGGTGGGCGCTGCCCTTCGCCGAGCCGAAAAGGAGAAGCGCGACTACTACACCGGTTTCAACCATGGAAAAACTCTGATCGTCCCTGCGGCGATGACGACAACCGGTGGGTTCGCCTCCTCCTTTGTGGATCTGCTTGGTCAGCTCGCCCGCTGCGCCGAGGCCCGTGGTGTGTACCAGCCGGGGCTGGATGAGGCCTTTGTTCCTCGATGGAAGGGTCGCTTTGCGGCGCTGGTCCATCAGATGAACGCTGACCACATCCAGCGCCACTTTGGCGGTGTCTGCCTACGCTCGTCGTAGGTAGGCACCGTCTCGGGGGTCCCTCTGTGGGGATCCCTGTGTGCACCTGTCGCTCCCTAGGTGGTTCTCGTTGTGGTCTTTTGATGGCTTGACTTGTATTTTGTTTTAATTTTGCTTTAATTTTTGACTGTATTTGTGTGGTACTTTTGCTGAATTTTTGTGTAAAGTCCTTTGTATGATGTCTTTGTCTTCTGTGGTCGGTTGCCTTTTCGACCCGACGCTGTCTCTTGTTGTATGTGAGCGTGCCGTGGTGTTCATTGTGTTTGTGCTGTGATGGCTTGTAGTTGTGATATGTGTGACTCCCTTTTTGTGTGACTTGTGGTTAAAATGGCCGTATCTCTGGTTATACCTGGTCGTTTTGTACGATTTTTGTTTCCTTGTGCGTGATTCTTCGCGCTTGTACTCCTCGGCATGATAGGAGCCGATGAAAATGTCTTGTTCTCTTGTGTTGTTTTGCGTGCCGTCGTGATTTTGATGTCGGGGTTGCACAGCTTTGCTTTCAGCTCTGAGGTTCAAACATCTCCCTGGATCGGTACCATTTTCCTTCTTGACCTCGGTCGTTCCACTTCCCTCCTTCTGTCTTGTTCTGTCTTGTTCCTTTGCCTTGCTTCAATCCATGTTCCTTTGTCTTGCCTCCATCTACCGCATCAAGGAGCACTTCAGTCAAGTCTTGGGCCCACGCCAGGGTTCTACCAGCGACCAGACTGCTCCTTCTGATGGAGATGCGCCTCAGGGCCCCACCACCGCCACTGGAGGTCCTCAGGTTGCCTTGAACAAGATCTTTCACCACATTGCCAACAACACCGTGCCCGAGTCGATTCGACATGCCCTTTGCTCCATCAACTACACTATCCTGGAGAAAGCCAACGGCAAGTTTCGACCCGTGGGCACGGATTCCATCTTCAACAAGGTTGTCAACCGCGCTCTGCTCGAGCAACAGCAGCCCCATATTGCCCACTTGCTACAGGCCAGTCCAGAGCTGGCCGTCGGAGTCAAGGACGGCATTTCAGCAGCGGTTGGCATGGCCTTTGGTGAGCTTCAAGCCTGTGAGTCTACCCCGGGCTGGACCATGCTCTCCCTCGATTTCAAGAGTGCCTTCAACTACACCGACCGAGCACGCCTGCACGAGATTGTGGCCGACAAGGTCCCTGGCCTCTTGCGCGCCTTTGAACGACACTATGCTCGACCCACTACCCACTGCATTGTCGACAAGTTCTTCAAGGTGATTGACATTGATGTTGGCCAAGGCATTGTGCAGGGCAACGAGCTATCGCCCTTCTTCTTTGCCCTGTACTCCTGTGAGGTCCTGGGTCTCCTCGACGCCACCACTGACTACCGCTGCAAGATCATCAAATACCTCGACGACATTGTACTGATGGGTCCCGCGGAGGACGTGGCGGCCGACGTGGAGATTGTCAAGGCTCGTGCAGAGTCTGCTGGCCTTCATCTGCAGCCCAGTAAGAGCCGCTTCTACATGCCTCGCCACCATTCG